AGACGTTTCAACATTCTCGGTGCAAAATAAAACATTTTTAAACGACAAAATTGTAATTGACAGAGCTTATCTGCATTGGGCATTTTACTTGACTCAAAATTAATTTGTTCCAGCTGAAATAAGTGTGAATTCCAATATGTCTTAGTCACATTGTTTAACGTTTTTTTCTTCACTTAAAATTGGACACGATGCCAACTCGCCCGTACTAATAGAAACATTACTTTTTGTTGGAGCTTTGCAACTATGAGAGCGTGCAAATAATACACAAGATTTACAGGCAAAAAAAGCAAAATCACATTGCTTTCATGCATTAGAAAATTGTAAACTAATGTTGTTTAAATATGCTATTTGATTAAATGATCAGTTTGTTTTTAAAAAGAATCAATGTGCATTGCCAGATTCCCAGACTCAATTCTAAGGCAATTTTAGTGAGCTTTTGTGCGTCTGTTCATTACAGGGGACAACCAAATTATTTTTCAAAGATAACATAAAAAGTTGTATACAAAAAAATCTAAAATATTGGGCACATCTGATCTCTGTGTCCGAATGAAATTAGTACACCATGCATTACTATATTCAAAATATTTGTACATACTTTCAAACAAAAATATTTACCATTACTCGAACGTATAATTGTAATGTTAAAAAAATTATAGAAAAAGGAATATAATTCCCTAATATTGAATTGTGTTGCCAATTATGAAACAAATTGAAAATAACACAGTATTGTAAGTAATCCTCTCACAAACCAAAGAACAACTACGTTTGACTTTATAAATATATATTCATTATACTAATTTTAGATTTATACATTTCACGCCTCGCTTTTTTTCAACTGCACAATGATTTCTCAAAATCATCTCAATTTTTGAACCGCATTTACAAAACTGTGTAAATTTCAAATTTAAATATACAGTGTGTGTTTTTAATTAGTTGTCATAAGTTAAGAATATTGCCTCTTTGATAGTGTACAGAATGTGAATGCTGCCCAATGGATGTAGGATTAATATTAGCAGTGGGGATTGTCAAATGGTATAATGGTCTCCACCCACCCGCACCCCAATTAGTGCAGAAGGCTATGGGGTGGCACACTTTGTCTGGTCCACAGCGGAAGCCTTCGTGTATAAACTTGCTTCCCGCGCGCACAAATATGTACATACTTGCAATTGGATCATTGTTCAGATTATTATTTTTAATCTCTCGCCTCTCTTCAAATTATAACCTGTCAGCGAATTGGTGCCCTTTCCTCGCTCCCAACACAGCCAATTGAGAGCACTAATAAGCAAGTCGGAAATATTTCAACCATCGCTACTTCAATTCCCCACACAAGGGACCAATCAGCATTGCCAGAGGATTATACCGATTGCGTATGGTCATGGATAGACTCATCTTATTTCCAGATTTTCTGCATTCATAATGTGTCCTCTGAGTCTTTCCTACCCCAACGATTAACTAAAAAACCCCTAGATCTTGAATGAAAACTCATATTAAGGGCCATATGCTCACGCTAGCTTTTACAAATGAAACAAAATCTTCCCACCAAGACATTAATACAAATGAGCCATTAGTTTAAATGACCATTTATTTAATGCACATGCTTGGACAGATGATTGAAAGTGTAACTATTCGCACTCTAAGTTACCCCAGTATAATGTGTTATTGTCTCTGGTCGTTACATTTTCTTAATTGCGTCAAATACTTCCGAGATAATTTTAAAAGAAAATATAAGCAATTAACGAACATATTTATTCCACTACTTTGAACATAAATCATTCATAAGTAGATATTGAAAACGTGTACAATGATATGTTTTATGGGACCAATTAATTTAATACATCTTCATAAATATCAAAACTAAAATAAGCACTGTTACCATTTTTTTTTAAAACAACATTGTATGAAAACCCCATCAAAGGCTATTTGGTATGTGGAAAGTTACATTATGAATACATAATTATATACTTGAGTGATACAATTCCCCTAACCTCCCATAGAAGAGGTATTTTGAGTCTCAAATTGATGTAATTTGGTGAAAATATAGTATACGGTATCTAATTCGCCACTTCAATATGTATAGCTATTATTCCTTGTTAAAAACTCTAATTGTTTGGAACAACAATATTGCATACTTATTTTTGTTATTTTTATATATATAAAACATATTATTCTTACATCACCGTTTTAAAACATGATTTCAATGTAATGTCTTAATTACAAAAGTAATGTTGTCGTACACAACCAAGAATAAGTAACGTTTAAACAAAAACGAGTAGAAAGACTTCCACTAAACTTAAAAAAAACCAATACTGTGGTTTAAAGATGTGCCTGTTCATGTTCTTTGCATTCAGAAATACAGTACCATTCTTCTTCTAGCAAATGCAGGAAATGTAAGTATAAATTAAGTAACAAATAAATGCTCAACTAGGAATATAACTCCATATATTGGCTGACAGGTGGTTTTCAGCTATAATATTGGGTTTACTTCATGAAAACATTTCAGCTGCTGAAGAGACCTCCAAGTATATAAAGAAATGGCAGTGACGGGAGAGCGTGTCGTAGAGGATGACCCACACGAAGATCAAATGCCAAGCTTTAGGATAACGCGGGGAGCCGGGTGGACTGCAGTACAGGGCACGGAGGTGATGCAGGTAATTAATCGGCAATTGCTGACAATGGGCATGCCTAATGAATAGGGGTGCCGGGGTGACGAGATGTTAACTACCTCGCCTGGTATACAGCAGATTGAGGCTTTCATATCGACCGTCACGGCTGTAGTTTGTACGTTCCTCTCGTAGCCGCGTGAATTTTTCTGAGTCGGGTCACTTACGATAAAAAAATAATAATAGAGCCTCTCGTCTACAGCAACCCGAAAGACATTGCCACTGTCAGCGCCTTGGGTCGTATACTACAAAACCGTGAGAAAATATCCGTTTCGAGCGAAACGTTTTCAGCGTTAGTTCTAAGGTCATTGTCCCTTCACAGAGGCCGCTTCTGCGAATGTGTATCGTCACTGGCGATACATGGATCGCACTAAGTAAAGGTTTGAAACTCTGTGTCACAAAGGAAAGTGATACTCCAAACTTCAGTTGGTATACATAGGACAGTGTTACAGTTAGTTAAAAGTGTACTAATGTTTTAATATTGAGATTTTAACTATTAATGAGGAAAGGCCTTCAGATGACCATAATAATAACACATATAGTCCTAATAGTATGGGCTACTTCAGGCTCATGTAGCAGTATAAAGAAGCACCGTCAAATAGCCCCCATTAACTGCACATAATGTTTAGGCCCTCATTCAGCAGTCGATTGCCATAAGGGCTGTACATAAACATTTAAGTTACCCTCCTGACAGTGTTACAATTAGTGAAAAATTATCACGTGGTTAGTCATGGTGGCACCATGCTGGTGAGCCATGTAATTAAATGCGTATGCATTTACTTGCAAAGGTGTCGACATACGTACGCATAACGTACAGGCACAGTGTATATACGCTATAAGCAAAGCAGACATATGTGGAAAATTGCACGGACTGTTGGGAAAACTAGAGTGAAACTTCCGTACATCATGACACGAACGACTTAATCCGGCAAGCTCACAAGGGACCATTAGTACACTTACAAATATAATGTAACTGTCATGGGTCATACAAACATGTCAAATTGTATCCATGTCATTGGCACACAATGGGCTACTGGTACAAACCAAGCCATAGAGTTTGACAGTTACTTTGCAGTAAAGTGTGTGCTTTCACAGTGCCTTCCAGAATTTCCAAGGGCGGAGGTGCGATCAAACCGCTGAGCCCTGGCGATGCACTGGCTCTGCATACTGTGCACATATCACTCTAGGTTATCCGGCGACGATTCATCATTCAAATATTTACAAACTAGCCACCCAATCGGCACGTTTTGGAGCACTAGCTGTATCACGATAGTTTTCTCTCTAAATATGTGCGACGGTCACGCACTGGCCCGCGAGGGCGATTCTCACTCCTCGAACACACTTCACGAGAAACGTGCTCTAATTGTAGCATCCACAACAGATGCACGGCCGTATCGGTGTCGGCACCGGCCTCACGGCCGGTGCCGATTTAACGACAGTTTACATGAAACGTAAATAAAACCCAGCACCTTTCGTGGCGCAGCGGTGAGTACGCTGCTGCAAGGCGGCCGGTAGACGTCGAGTAACCCCGAGGTCCACATTTGCCGCTCGTGACCCTCGCAAACTCGATCGGATCGCAATTGTCCCATTGCACGTCTCTCAGTTTTTTTTAGTAGGGGTTTCACGGTTCTCCTTTATAGCCCGCGGAAATAAATGCTCACATTGCACGCATGATTAGCATGGTTGGCTACGTATGGTGCGAAAGAAGTTCAACATGCATGCATTGTATTGTTATTGGGCCACTATAATTGTTTTAAATCCCATGAAGCTGATCGAATACATTTAACCCAATCCCAACGTGGGCACCGGAGACATTTTATCGCCGTCCTGTGCACGGACGACACTAAGTGAAGAAAAAGAGAATAAACACTCCCGTAAGTGAATGCGGCGCTAGCGACACGTGTGAAAATTCTGCAGCCGATCCTCCTTTTTTTGGCTGAGTCAACCTGAAATATGTCCTCGCCACGTGTGGACACCCGATTGTCGACGATGTGAGAGAGCGGCCAGAAAATTAAATCAACGTCGCAGGAATTGAAGTGCAGCGCGCTGACCACTCTGTCCGTCCGCAACGCGCAGGGCGAACGCACGCTTACACGCGCGCTCAACGCGCACACGCATTGCCCACTTGAAATTTACTTTATTGTGCCGTCGACACCCGGCGTCGTTCGTCTGGACACACAGTCTCATAAGTTGCCATTCATCCAGCCATACGCGAGAGAGAGAAAAAACGTCAGTCCGTTGTTGGTGAAGCCACAAGCTTGTGACAGAACCAAATTAGCGTCTGCGGTAGTATGTGTGCCTGCGAGCGATGCGTGCGTGCGTGCGTGCGCGTGCACGTACAGACGGGCTTACTGCATTTGGCCATGGCCCAGGTGGACAGCCTGGCTCTGGACTCGGCGAGTTGGTTGCCCGCGCCGCCGTTCTGCTCCGGCCGGGCCAGCTTGCTGGGAGGGTGGTCCCTCGCCACGTCGCCGGGACTGGCGCAGAACTCACGGAGCCCCTGAGTGGCCCACGACTCCTCTCCTTTATTCATCCCCTGCTGGATCACACGCGGCGATCACTCGCGAAACCCGCGGGCTGGGTTAGCCCAGTGCACAATGATGCTCGGCAGGAAGTGGGAGCACTCAAATATTAACGCAGCGAGATTATAATGGTGGTTTGCAGACATAATGTGGAATGATGGAAATCAGAATTGCGGCTTACAAGATTTCAGCTGTTTTAAATGTCTACATGCATATCAAAATATCAGTACACACTGCCTTAATATTATACAACAGGACTGTAAGGCATCACATCACCCGTACGCGATATTGTCAAAATATTTGAACGTGTTAAAAACGAACCATTACGTTAGTCACTTTTTTATCGTGATAAAAAAACACGCGTTGCAGATTAAACAACAAAAAATGTAGAATGCCATTTACGATGCACATTTTATTTAAACGGCATTTTCAATGTAACACATTTTAAAAAAAATTACCTTAATTTTGAGAACTGAATTTAAGTGACAGTTCTTTTTTACCATCTTTGCTTGATGGATATCTTCGTCGAAGCCACAGTATGTCCCTCTAAGTGTGCGACCGCTTGGCTTTGAAGCCCATTTCAAGTAAAAAAAATAAAACCAGCATGAAACTTATTATCGAGACTACCGGCCCTATTTATCTCGTGCTTACCTTTACACTGCAATTTGAACTTTAAGTCATTAAAATTATACACCTCACTATATCGCTGCATTGACCAAGACACGACGAGTATTATTACCGTTACTACGGTATTGTGAAAACGTCTTCAAAGTTACGCAGGAAATATTGAAACTCAAGGTGCTGACGGGGAAACACTGTGCAGGTGGCTAGGCACTGGTTGCAGTACCTGACACGTGAATTGAAAGCCACACTACCCCACGGAGAAACTTAAGGAGATTGCAGTTTACGGAGTCTACCTGAAATCAATAACGGCTTGGGATAATTAACAACCTGAAACATTACAACTTTGAATTGCTGAAAGTTGCCTTAACTGTGAATAAGTAACGCTCCAGCATTCCAACAAAAGAAATATTTAATCTACGAAACAAATTCACCAAGTGTCCTCAAACAAATGCTATGTTTTGTGGTTGGAAGTAATGGTCAAGTTACTTTAAGCGGTACTGAAAAACATACCACATACACAGACACAACACGTGGACACCAGGCACGGGCACGACATAGAGACAGGTCTCACGCAAGTGTAAACCAGGCGGAGCGGTGAGTTGCAAATATGCGACTCTGCTCTGTATAACGCGTTCCCTGCACAGACACGGCTTGAGCACAGAACACGTAGACAGCGTACCGGGAGACAAGATATACAGGGAGACAGACAACAGAGAGGCATGCGGGTAGCAGAGACAGCGTAAACACTGGGGCAGGAGACATAAAAGACGTCATCATTGGCGAAACACACATACACAAGATCGACGCCTTGTGCTGCCGACACTTGCTACCACACAGACAAGTTCGTGACAGACGCGCGAGCGACACGTAGACAATAAAAACTCCGAAACAAGCGACATGACATGAGCAAAAAGGCAACAGGCAAGAGAGGGTGGTAAGCGGCAGGAAAACAACACAAAGGAGTTCTTGAGACGAGACAAACACACAGAGTGATTGGTGTAGGGACAAAAGAAGCGTCATGGGGGTATGACGGGAAATAATACTACGAGTTAAGAGACAACGTCGCACAAACGCAAAACATGGTGCGACGTTACTCCGGGCCACACAATAGCAGCCAACACGACAACCACACACACACACGCGCAAGACACAGACGTACAGACATGTGGGAGCCACGGACACTCGGGAGACGCGGAGACCAGACGGGGAACCGAGCCCCAGGGGGTCCCAGGTGCACCGCTGCCCGATCCCCGTCGTCGCCCGAACAAAGAGCGCAGCAGAGAACGCGCGGCGCGCTACAAGGGGGAGCAGCGCCCCCCCCCCCACCACCACCACCCCTCTCTCTCTCTCTTGCCCGTACTCACCGCCTCGTGTGCTCCTCTTCCCCGCACTTTTAATCTCTCCCCTCCGAGGACACGCGCGCGGCTTCCCCCACTCGGTCACTGCGCGCCTTCCCGAGCCATGCGCCGCGGTCCTGAACTCCTGCACCACCACCACCCCTCTCCTCTTCGTCTCCACCCACCCCGGCACGGGCGCCCGGCGAACCGCGCGACTCCGCGGGGCCGCCTCTGGGCCTGTCCCCCCCCCCACCAGCTCCCTCTCTCCCACGCTGAAGGCCGGAGAGGAGCCGCTCTGCAGGGATGAGCAGGGATGCGAGGAAGAGGAGGAGGAGGAGGCGGCGGGGAGCCGGTGCTGCTGCTGCTGCCGCCGCTGGCGCTTGCTGCTTGCGGATGGTCCGGCTGCGGGACAGCGCAGAGAGTCCCGCGGTGGTGGGCACAGCACCGAGGCCCCCTGCCGAGTGGGGGTCACGATAAAAGTGGTGGCTCTGGGACTGCGCGTGTCCCCGTCGCGGCCGCGCTGCTAGTAGTAGTGCGCTGCTAGTAGAAGTAGTGCTGCTGCTGCTGTTGTTGCTGCTGCTGTTGCTGTTGTTAATACGGCAGTCACTTTGCGAGTCGCCGCCTGTCACCGAAGATCGGAGGCCACCCGCTCGCAACAGCGACCGTGACAGAAGCACGCAGCGTAAATGGTGGAGGTGGTGGTGGTGGGGGGTGGGAGCAAAACAAAACTAGGAAACGTCAAAAGAGTGCTCGCCTCCTCCCAGGTACTGTGGCGGTTACCTTCGCTCCTTCTCTCCCCCACCCACCCAGCAACACCAACAACAACACGAACGAGAACGCTAACACCGACACGGCCAAGCCGCAAAATGATTAGTTACGGAGACTCATCACGCACGAGTCACGGAGCCGTCACGACATTTTTGTTTTTTTTTCTCGCTTTCACTCAGCCTAGGTAGTTTGACGAGATCCTTGGGTGCGTTGGCTCCTCTCGCTCCGGACACCACCCACCCCACCCACACACACCACACGAACACCCTTCAATCCCCTCGGTCGCCCTCTTGTTTAGCGTCCCGGTTCGAGCCTCGGTCCGCCAGGTCTCTCTCTCTACTCTAACCTCGGGCTGCGCGTGATGGGGAAGGAAGACGGAGAAGGGAGGAGGAGGAGGTGGTGCCGTAGCTCGCAGAGCGACGGCAACAGCGCTTATCGAGGAGGAGGAGGAAGGAGGAGGAGAGGAGGGGGGGCCCGACCGCGCACGAATTTTTAATCAGCTTGATTACTGTGAAGCGGCTCGCATTTATTACAGATAATAATACCACATGATCAAATAATTATATGGCTGGGTGAGCCTCCGGGAGGAGGGGCAGGGGATGGAAGCGAGCGCTGCGAGTGAGCGCTTCGCAAGCCGCTCCCGGCTGTTGTGCGTGAAGCTTCGGACCGGTTATGGTTAATAAGGATTAGCGGGCGAGAACAATGTTTAATTTCACTGACGCGGAAAAGTGTTTTGCGTAACTGGCTTTCGGCTGCGAGAGGGCTGCGGTGGCTCGGGCAACACCACCCGTTCGCCGTGCCACGTTCGGATGACGGTGCCGCACTTTTTCTTGCATGTGATTTGCATAAAATTAGTTAATAATAAACAACACACCTAATGGACGCATGTTGCGACTTCTAAATTATTGATGAGCCTAGGTAAAATTGTCTGTGAGCTGTGCTGAATATTTCATAGGCAGCACCCGTTTCATTTTACAGCTGTCTGCAACATTAGCGAAACCTCCAGAGGTATGAAACACGGCGTTTTGAATAAGAAATGCCACCCTAAATGCGAATAGTGGATGCGCCGAGTAGAACAGGGGGGGGGGGGGCTACAGTATTTATTTAGAGACGGACGCGTGCGTGAACGGGGGGGGGACGCTTTATGCGTAATTTGTGAGTGCCGAACGAACTCGCGGGCCCCCCCCCAGGAGTCCTGGGTCAGCTTTGGGATTTCGACTGAAAATACGAACACTTTTTTCGCGAAGAGGTGATTACATTTTTTTTATTAATAAATGTCAATTCGTGCTTTGACTTCTGCGCCTTGTAACTTTATTTTCTGTGATGTTCACACCATGTTGAGCGCCCCTATATATGTGCGCCACGTGTGTGTGTGTGTCCGCCCCTGCGTGTCCAGTGGCTCTTGTCCGATCGTAACTCGCAATGGTTCCATCGCAGCCCCTCTCAGCTTGGAGCGCACCTTGGTCAGCCGAGATGGGCAACATGTTCACAACACGCAGTCCACATCCTCTACTATTACACACGGCTTCACCGTAGAGCGCTGGTCATATATATACACACTGGTCAGTTGTAGTCTTAGAGGGAAAGGCTATTCCAAGCGCTTTGTGTAATACCGTGCCATTTGTTGGCCCCTTTAACAGCCAAGGCCGTGCCCGCGTGGAGCCTGCTCCCTCGGTGCTTCCGAACGACACGAACGTAAAGTGACGAAACGTTCGCCAAATAACCAAAGACGCCAACTACGAGGCACACTTTTAAACACACCGCTAACCTAACTCCACCACAGCCGCCAAGGCGGGGTTGCTGTGCAGTGTGCACGATGCTACGTGTGGGTAGAACTGCTCTCCCTCTCTTTCTCTCTGTGTGTTGCTGCTGTGCGGGACTAAGGTGGTAGGTGGTGGTGGTGGGAGGAGGAGGGTGATGTTACAAGTCTGCGGAGTGGCGTCCCCTCCACCCCCCCCCCCCCCCGTGATGTGGGAGAGATCGTTTCGCGAGGTTGCGACTGCTGCTGCTGTTCGACGCCTGCATGGGGGCACGGTGTGTGTGTGTGGGGGGGGGGTCTCTGTTTCACCGCGCCACAACCTCCGTGGCCCCCGAGTCACAGCAGAGAAGAGGGCGCCCCCCCGTTCGGCAGTGGCGCCGCCCGTCCCCACGTGCGCCAGCCACCCCCCCCCCCCCACCCCGCCGGGGGTCTTGTGGAGAAGGAAGACGGGCGGGGTTGCTCGCTAGAGAGAAAGGGTGAGCCTTCGAACTATGAGATGCCGCGTGTTTTTGTTTTGTTAACATATATAAAGGTACAACTGCGTGTGTGGTTTGGGAGGGTCGGATGTCTGTGTGTGCGTCTGGGGAGCGGTGACGCTCGTGGGTCTTGCAAGTGCGCTGCGAACCCTCCCCACCCGAGGATTTGATTACAGTGACCACGGGGAAGATTAGCCTGAAGGGAGGTTCGTCGTATCAAGAAATCTGGCCTGGGAATCCCTTAGGTCCACTCAGTCTTAAATTAGTGCAATGCGTTATGCAAACATATCGTACTCGAGAAACAAAGGTTTGTAATTGCTGGCCGCAACTACTCAGCACCCCATTGTGCAACGTGACGACCTTAATTGATAGGTGCTCGCTAATAATAGCATTCCCCCGGCAATCTGCGTGGCTATTCGTATAGGGGTGGTGGAGAGAGGTGGGAGGGGGGGGGGGGGCAAGCGGTGGTTAGGTTGGGTGGGGGTTTGGGGATGCGGCGAGCGATGTTGTTTTGTGTGGTGCGAAATCTTCCACGCGTTACGTTTGCACGAGATCACCGCGGGTAAGCTCTCATCCTGCAAAGTTTAATTAAAGACCTTACCGATGTTTATCGATCTGGGTAGGGTGGGGGGGGGGGGAGGTTTGGGGGGGGGGGGGGCTGCTGCTTGACCGCTTCAAAGCGTCGCGGAATGCATCGAGGCCGCCCGCGTGCGCTGCAATAACCACGGGCACGCCCGCGGTGGCGCCTCTCGTCAAACCTCGCCACCGCCTGCCTCGTCGTTCATCGCGCGAGATCGCTTATCATCGCCCAAACACCTCGTCGTCGTCGTCAGCTGCAGCAGCAGCAGCAGCGTCGCTCGTGATCACTCGCCGCCCTCGTGACAGTGTTCAGCCGTGCCCACTTAGCGCACGCGTCGTCCGTCCTCGTCACCCTTCGCTATTCGTCATCATCGTCACCTCGTCGTCGTCGTCGTGAATAGTCGCTCATCATCGCGCATCACCGCTCGTATATTATCGTCGTCATCGCCTGCCGCCCGCCATGTGTCGCCCTCGTCACGATTGATTGTCACCCGTTGTTTTGTCACTCATCATCATTATCACGTGTCCCTCGCGATCACTCATTGCGTCGATCATCATCATCACCGTCGTCGGCATCATCATCATCATCATCACATCACTCATCGAACTCGTTATAACGCTCAGCCATCATCGTCATCGTTACTGCAACTCGTCACCTCGTCACTCGTCACTCACTGTCCACCATTGCACTCATCGTCGTCATCATCGTCAACCGCGATACACCAATGATTAATCGCGTATCATTCGCCACGCTTGCCACTTATCATTCACTCAACACGCACGACCAAATCGCCACTCGTCTCACCCATCATCATCATCATCATCACTTCGTCACCAGTCTTAGCGGCGGGGTGGTAGGGGGGGGGGGCATTCGCCCGCAGCGCGTTACCGCTGCCGTAACGCGTTCATGAAGACACTTTTACTTTGTGAGAAATCTCGCGTTTTAGCGGCTGAAGCGACGATAAAACGTCGCGAGTTGAGACTCGCGACGCTTTGGCCGGCGTCTACTCAAGACGCCGACGGGCGGCAAACTTTACACGGCATACTCATGCCATCATCATAATGACATCTTTACGCGGAGTGCATGAACTTTATTTGTTCCCTTGATGCAGTCGCACGGCTACATTTGTACAAATTCGACAATTACAGTTGAGCAACATGCACGCCGTCGTTGTTTGTTGCTTTACAATTGGCTCCAAACCAATACATCCTCGCGCAAATATTCGTAGAGGTGTGTTGTGTTAATACGTTTAATCCGTAACCGGCAGTGCGACGTTTTAAATAAAGTGCTGTTATAATGCGTATATATCAAGGCAGTAGTTGCTCGTGGTGTGAAATACAACGGGGCTAATTGGACTGTGCTCCTATGCTCCCAAGTAGATGCTCCCATTCTTCCCCAACCCTCGCTGACCAGCGCAAGGCGACAGCGTTCGAGAGGCTTCTCATCGAGCAATGAGTTGGTCAACGAGCGGCACGTTGACGATAGGTCACTGCAAATGTGTGGCCTATAGTTTAGAGTCAAATCAACAGTTTACAAGTTACTTAAAAAAACACCATTACTGCCTCCAATTATGGCAACATAGTCACGCACACAAACGCGCTCCTGTCGTACGACCAGCTGTGTGTGTTAACTACACTCGATCACACCGACACGTTTTGCGGAAGTTAGTCTCATTGTCGAGACACGAGATATTGTGGGGGACTTTATTGCAGGCATGCAGACAATATACAGTACAATATATGGACTGTAGACCCATTATCTGGTTACACTGCGTTCACGGTAGCGCGCAAGGATGACTAACAACACATATAAATCACTACATTTGTCAATAGCACTGCCTTAAAAGGGGGACGAATATAAACGTGGACGACGTTTCGGGCAACGGCCCTCCTTCACAGCAAATGACTACAGATAGACCAGTAAGCAGGTCATCGGCAGATTTTCCCTTGGAAAAAGTTTCACCCAGTTTTCTCTGAAGTTCTAATTCGGCCACCTTAGCAAGAGAGACCTGTGCCTGACGCGGCATTTCATCCCTCTGGCCGCATCCCCCGAGACACTCCCAAGCCCCGAAATGCCACGCGCCCGTAGAGCGTCCCACACGGGCAGCTTGCAGGCAGTGTCCGCGCTTCGCGTGTTGCCTAACTTATCCTCGTCACGGAGGACATCCCGATTCATCGCAAGCGGCCCTATCACCCGCCACACATGGAGCCCACTATGGTTACCTACCAGCCCTTGTTGCGTGTCATTTGGTTAAAGGGAGCGGGGACACAACATTTACCGGTGCACGGCGTAGTCCATGGTCAACAAACTCTAAACAAATGTTAACCGATTAACAGGATGAGTCCATCGCGCATTCTGCTCTAGCTCTCTCATCCCCGGTGATGATTGTAAGGGGATGCTGCAGCGATCATTGGTTAAGCGTCCTATTTATTTTGCATTTTCTCCAGCCACCTCCAACTATTGCAGAGAGTTTTGTATATTAAATGTACTTGATTGTAAGCATTGAGGAGGAGCTGAGCCTTCGGCAGGAATTTCGGGGGAAGGGTGCTCATACCTCTCCAGCCCCCCGAGTACGACCCGAGGGGTGGTACATACGGATATTCAATGAGCCTTTGTCTGCGCTTATTCATCTAAAGGTAAATCATAGAGGTGGTGCAGTGAAAGTATATCTATTTTTTGCTATATTGTATGCGCATTTTTTTGGTTGTTGCACTTAACGTTAGCAGTCGGTCTACCCCCGAGCAGCTAACTGCAGGATGGGTGCAGTAGGTTCATCGTTTCTCTCCTTCGCGGCTGCAAAAGAGCGGTGAGTTTGAACCTGGCGAAGTCGGTCAGGCAATGAGCCTGACCGGCGCGAATTTTTTTTCACAAACATATCATTGGTTATTCGAAATCTTTAGATCGAGACGATTAACTAATAGCCGGAATACTCTGCGTAAATAACTTTAGCTAAAGCATATTTTTGTTTGTTGTAGGTGTTTATGCACAAAGATTGTCCCTATTTTTTTTAAAGAAACCTATTGCATTATATGGCATGCGTTCCTTCATTGTGTATTCTCGCGAGCGTAGACATATATATATACCCGCTGAAT